GAGAAAGGAAAACTTGAAATCGCATCATATGACCCCTTTAATCCCATTAAATATTATATATGAAAACCATATATATATATATATATATGTTAATACCATTAAATATCCATTAAAAATCAGCGGTCATGTCTTGCCAGGCCTGGTTAGAGTTGATATAAAGGATTGGCCCGTGTTTATTGCCCTTCTCATGTTCAAAATACCTCATTCTTAAAATGGAGCATCCAGAGGATGGATGTGCCCATTGAAAGGTCATTCATGCATGTATTAGGAAACAATTCTGATTTTATTTTGACCTCCAGTGGGTTTTGTATTTTAGGAAACGCACAAAGTCTACAGACAGAAGCTAGAGGAGCTGACGAACCTGCAGGCGATATGCAGCAGTGCCATAAGCAAACAAAGAAAAGGCCTGAAAGACCTCAAGCATAGTCTTCATAAGTAAGAGCCGAGTTTCAGATGTTACTAAAGATCTTGAGCAATACGTTCACGATGACGGAAATGGATCCTTTTTCTCTTTTGATGCAAACAGGTGTACGAAAACTTGCAATGAAAAAGAAACGGCGGTGATAAATGACCTGAAGGTTCAAATTAAAGAGAGGCAAAATGTCTTTTTTGACATGGAGTCCTATTTGCCAAAGAAAAACGGGTGAGTTTTAGTTCTTCATTCTGATATGTATAGTACCACAGTTGTGTGGTTTGGTTTTGAGGCTTTTCTACTATCTTAAAACTGTTGTCTTCTCTTTTCAGACTGTACCTAAATTTGGTCCTTGGAAATGTCAATGTCACACTCCTCAGCAACCAAGCCAAGTGAGTCAGATGTGAACATGTCCGTTGAACGGAGAGAGATTTACCAATACAAAATTGCTGATTTTGTGTTTTCCAAAACAGGTTTGCATACAAAGATGAATATGAGAAGTTCAAACTTTATATGACTATAATACTAATGTTCGGTGCCGTCACCTGCCTCTTCCTTTTCAACTACCGGTAAGACGAGCGATCTCAATAATTAATGTTATTAATGTAGGAAATTGTGCTGTTGG